TACAAAAAATCGGGTCATTTAATAACTTTATTAATGTATGAATTTGGACGTGACATCGATGTCACTGGCGCAGTAATGTGGCGCAGTAATTTATTTCAGTGACGACGGGCCGTCGTCAAAAAAATTTTAATCTGAGCTATTTAGCTTTCAAAATTTTAGCAATTACATGATCGATATCGTTTAGAGTTAAATTAAAATAGATGATTGGGAGAAAGATTTAACTAGTGCTATTCTCGATTTACCAATACTATTAAAAAGCTTATAGACTCTCTTAGCCTATTCTCAGAAGAAAAAAGAATATATCACTGTGCGAAAAAAGTAAAAAATTAACACTCTGATCTGTTTTATTTATTAAATCATTATCAGTAAATTTGCCGTAGCTTTCCGATTACAGACTTAATTTATAAAATAATATTTTCTTTCTCATTCCTAGACGATCTCTCATAAAATTGTTTAATTTTAGCATCAAATTTTTCTAACCACTTCCTTTCACCAGTTATTTTCCACCTACTCGCATCCTCGATAAACGCAACAAATAATCTTAACTCTCCCTTCAACTTGCCCATTAATTCTGAAAACGACATTTTTTCTCCGAACTTGATAATTCCGATGATTTGACACAACCCGCCGTAGTCCTGAATAATTGCTTGACATGGATCGGAGTGAAGAAACAACGGAGTTGCAAGGCCGAAATCAATAAGATAGAAATGGCCATTTCTCTGTATAACATTTCGTATGGCCACATCTCCGTGCGTGTAACCATAAGCATGTATCTTCTCCAAGCATGATAATAGATCCAAAATTAGTTGAAAAATCGTGTGATCATCTATATTACTGTTATCAGAAATCCATGATTCCAGGGGTTGCCCCGCAAAATCAGTTAATAAAGCCGGAGATCCTCCCATTGTATGACCCTCGAAGAGAATTTTAGGAACACAAGGGAGATCACCCAGCGAATGCAACACTGATATTTCACGGTAAATTTGAGAGATCTTAGTGTTTTTGTAAACTTCAATCTTCAGACAAAAAAATGATCGATATGGTAAGTTTATTATACACAATATGAGACATTCTTGGGAATTATTTTACCTTCAAAACGGCATCCTTTATTCCATAATCACGTACTTGTGCCAAAAAAACTGTACACTCTCTTCCAGTTCCAAGGTGAGACGTGATCTGCACATGGATACAATTTCCAGAGCTTAATCTGATATCGATACCTTCTTCAATGAAAGAAGCCAAGAGATTTTTAGAAGAAATTGATGACTTAAACGTTTCATCGTTATTTGGAGATTCTTTTTTTTCGTCAGAAGCTCTCATCGACAGGTCATTATGGTAACGATTAATTAGGCCAGCAATAAGTGAGGCTGTGCGTTTACTCCATTCATAGTTGAGACTTTCCTCAAACTTCACTTTTAGGTCATTAACATCATCTAACATAAGTTGGATTTTCACGAATTGCCAAAGCTTCCCATCCGTCAAACATCCATAGAAAATGCTTGTTAAAGGTGGATCCGCTGAAAGGTATGCCCTGGCGTATTTTATTAGTTGGCCTTTCCCTTCGCTTGCTTTTGACTTATCATTTAAATTATTCTTGACTTCCCAACCCAAACCCTTTGATAAATCAGGTGGGTTTTTTGTCAATTTTGCGTAGAAACCGACAGGACCAATTATGATATCAGGAAAAACTTCATCTTCTCTCCGGCCGCCATTATCTCCAACTACAAGTAAGTCATTTCTTTCTACCTGATTTACGATTTCACTCACAACATTCTTACAAAATGGTTGGTTTACATTAATTTCACTTAATCCTTGAGCAGGAGCATTACGATATTGATTAAATACATCATTTACAGCCTCTTCTAGTGGTGTGATATCCTCCTCAATTTTCCAAAGTTGGATGTCTCCACGTTCTCTCACATGTCTGTACACAGAGGCAGAATTTCTTGTATTGGCTAACTCAAGATAGAATATATGATATTTCAAATCCTTAATTTCCTTGATATATTGTTCTGAATAAAATGGAAAATAGTCATACACACGTTAAAAAGTGACGGCGAAAAAGCATTATGTTCACTCGCACTGACCAAATTTATTACAGCTTACTTACCAGAGGCAACGGGTTGCTCTACGATAACGCGAATGTGTTTTTTGGGCG